GGCCTCTGATAACATAAAAATATATTTTTTTCTTTATATTTATTGTAATTTTATTTTGATGCTTCTTTCTCTCACCTTTCACATGGTTTAATTGACATTTTGCCTGTACCTCTTGGGTTTGCAGCAAACAACTATAGTATTGTTAACTCTGTTTCCTGTCCTGAGAAACTCTGGTTCTCCCATACTAATTAAAAAGAAAGGATTATTGGAGTTATGTTCAATGGAAATGTCCACCCCATGTGCAGCTGCTGTTAAAAAAAAAAGGCAAATTCCAAATCATTGCCTCATAGAGTTGAAAGGCCATGTAAATTACTGACTCCAATTTCTTGGACAAGAATCCAAATTAAAACTTCCTTGACAGTCTCTACCTTGATCACATCAAGTGAAGAGAGCTCACTTGGGTAATTGGTTCCACTATCCACTGCTTTTATTATTAGGAGGGTTTTTTCCTAACATTTAGTATAATGTGCCTTTCTTTGTTTTAAGACCATTGTTCTGTGTCTTGTGCTCTGGAACCACTGAGAACAGATCATGGTGTGACATCTTTTCAGAGTTTGATGAGAGTTATTCTATTAAGTCTCTAAGACTTAACAAGAAATCTAAACAAGCCAGATTCCTTCAACAAAGAATCTGTGGCACTTAGTTTCTAGTCCTGTCATCAGTATTGTTACATTTTCCTGAACCTGTTCCAGTTTCTCTGAATCCCTCTTAAGATAGCCACAATTGGATGCAGTAATTATTTTGCATGAATTGGGGGCAAAAAGACTTATGTTGATGCAGCCTAGAGTTGCCTTTGTCTTTGTCCATCCACATCAAAAGATGTTTCCCATAAGTTAGGTATCACAAAGCAAGAGATTTATGAGGAAACTTTTAGCCCACAGAGATCATATAATCATAGGTCTAGAAAGTCTTTGGAAGTCTTCTAGTCCAATCCCCAGCCCAAGGCCTTATACCATTCTGGACAAATGGTTGTCCAATCTTTTCTTGAAAACCTCTAGCAATGGAACACACACAACTCTGAGATGCAAACTGTTCCATTGATTAATTGTTCTCACTGTCAGGAAATTCCTCCTTATTTCCAGGTTGAATCTCCCGCTGACAAGCTTGTACCCATTGCTTTTTGTCCTGCCTTCAAGTGCTATGGAGAATAAATTGACACCCTCTTCCCTATGACAGTCCTTCAAGTATTGGAATACTGCTATCATGTCTCCCCAAGTCTTGTCTTCATTAGGTTAAAGATATCTAATTCCCATAGCAGTTTATCATATGATTTAGTCTCCAGACCTTTTATCATCTTTATTGCTCTTTTTTGCATTCTTTTTAGGGCCCCAACATCTTTTTTGTGTTAACCAGAATTTGATGCAGTACTCCAAATGTGACCTCATTAGTGCAGTATAGAGTTGTACTATCACTTCCTGTGACTTTGATGCTATTCTTATGTTGGTGCAGCCTAGTACTGTGTTTGCTTTTTTGGCAGTTACAACACTACTGGTTCATACTTAAGTCTACTAGGATATATAGATCTCTCACACAGTTATTATTGTTGAGCCAAGTATTCTATACCAATGCATTTCATTTTTCCTGCTTAAGTTCTGGACTTTACTTTTCTCATCACTGAAATGCATCTTGTTGAATATGCTCAAGTCTATCAAGATCCTTTTGAATCTTGAGTCTTCCAAAGTGTTGGCAATTCCCCCCAGCTTGGTGTCATCTGCAAATTTTATGTGTTCCCCTCATCTAAACCATTTATGAAGATGTTGAAGAGCATCAGGTTCAAGCATGCAGAGGTACCCTACTGCCTGTTTCCCTCCATGTACTGTAGATATAGCTCTTTATTATAAATATTCAAGTAGAAGTTAGACAGCCATATGCATGGGATGTTTTCATTTGGATTTTTTTGTACTGCACTCAGCATAAGCCATTTTTTCCAACTGCGATTCTATTCTATCATTTGGTGTCCTCCAGTGGCCTGGCATTTTACCAATTCTCTAGCATTTTGGAACAAGCCCCCTTTAAATTATTTTCTGTTTAAAGGGTTCCAAATTCCAAATATAAAGAAATGGAAAAAAACTGAAGTTGCAGATTTGGTTTCTGATCTTCCAGAATATCAAAACACTCATGAAAACACAATAGTATGATTTAGGGAGGGCTGTGTCTCAGGATGTGGTAAAAAAAGTTAAGATGGAGGCCATGAAAGCAATAAAAGCTTTGCCTGTTTTTTTATATGTATTGTGTCAGCTATACATATAAAAACAGGCAGAGCTTCAATTACAAAGTGCAGTGGTTAGAATGCAGTTCTGCAGCCTAGCAGCTCAAGGTTGACTCAGTCTTCCATCCTTCCGAGGTTGGTAAAATGAGGATCCAGATTGTTGGGGGGCAATATGCTGACTCTGTAAACTGCTTAGAGAAGGTTATAAAGCACTATGAAGCAGTATATAAATCTTAAGTGCTATTGTTACACCATTGTGGTTATGATCTTGACTATTTTCTGCACCCTGGGGACATCCCTTTGGATCACTTGCTAAATTTCTCACTTTCCATCATACAGGTGGCAATCCAGTCTGAAGCAATTTAGTAGTTGGAATTAGGCAAAAATGCAGCATATTCTCTGACCACTGAATTGGGAGGCTTCTTATTTAGGAGAGGGATAAGTTACTTATTAATAATGCTGATACTAATGTATGCCAGTTTATTTATCAAGAGATAGGCACAAAGAAGAAAAAATTCAGCACATTTTTTTTGGGGGGGGGTAGTGCCTTTGAGTCATATTGACTCCTGGTGACTGCCTGGACAGGTCCCTACAATTTTCTTGGCAAGGATTAGTAGAAGTGGTTTTGACCTTGCCTTGTTCTTTCTAAGGCTGACAGAAAGTGACTGACTCAAAGACACCCAGTTGGTCATGGTCTTCCAGTTTTTAGCCTAGTGGCTTAACCACTATACCAAACTGGTCCCCTCAGCACAAATATTATTTTATTTTCTGAAAAGTAATTATTTAAGGCAAACATAATTATTGCTCAGGGAGTAGAGAGGTGATGCAACAACTTAGGTTTTCTTCCAGTATGGCTCTTTAAAGAAAAAGATCCCAAAATTCCACAAACCTGCTGTCTTTTACAGTGCTACAGTATATTATCTATATGCCTGCATACCTATCACATCATTTCCTTTTGGCGTAAGCAATATTTTGCCAAATACAGACAAGAAGCAAGAAACAGTAAGCTAAAGAAGTCAAGGCATGATGTAAGAAAAATAAAGGGCAGTCTAGTTTTGAAATTGACCTCCACCTCCCATCATGGCCTTGATAAGTTGTGACTTTCACATAGTGTTTATGTATCAAACCATGTGCAGCATTCCCTGATAAGTATAAGGAGAGCACTGGCCATTTTTGCTATGTTTTAATGATGCAATAAAGAAGAAGAGTCAATGCCCACTTTTACCCTATGAACGCTTGCACTTTTCAGTGCAAGCTAAGATCTCTAGAAATTGGGTTGCAAAATAATATTCATTTGTCATTGATCCTACCAGCTAAGAGGTCCGTGCAATGTATTTATACATACATAAAGTTGTGTGTTGGTCATACCCTATGAATGTGATCATATTATAGGCTAATGAACTTCTCTGGCATAATAACATCTGTGGGGTAATTCAGAAGATAAATAGTTGCAGTTAGTTTATATTAAAATCTGCAGGTCAAGTTAATAATTTGAATTAGTTCACAATGAATTTAATGGAACACAAAAACAAGTTCGGAATCAACCTTTTATATGTAAATTACATTTATATAGTAATTATGTTTCATCTTAAAATAACAATATAATTTTCAGAGCACTAAAAAGGCTTTAGGATTTAATACAATCATTGCTGTTCACATAGATAGTGTAAAGTTTACAAGAAAACTGCCCTTTAATCTGCATGTTCAGTTGTGCAGTCTGTATTTCTCATCAGATGGAGGTCACTTTCTTGCTATATCAGCATTAGCTTCCAGCATTGTCTCCTGGAAAAATATTTTCTGTTCCTCATTAAACTGAAAACTATTATGAAATGTATCTTAGATGATACAAAATGATAATATTCATAAGCCACTCAAATGTGCTGCAGCTGCCAAAAAAGCCAACACAGTGCTAGGCTGCATTAACAGAGGGATAGAATCAAGATCATGTGAAGTGTTAATACCACTTTACAATGCCTTGTTAAGGCCACACTTGGATTACTGCATCCAGTTTTGGTCACCACGATATAAAAAAGACGTTGAAACTCTAGAAAGAATACAGAGAAGAGCAATAAAGATGATTAGGGGACCGGAAGCTAAAACATATAAGGAACGGTTGTTGGAATTGGGTATGTCTAGTCTAATGAAGAAAAGGATGAGCAGTGACATGATAGCAGTGTTCCAATATCTCAGGGGCTGCCACAAAGAAGAGAGAGTCAAGCTATTCTCCAAAGCACCTGAAGGCAGGACAAGAAGCAACAGATGGAAACTAACCAAAGAGAGAAGCAACCTAGAACTAAGGAGAAATTTTCTGACAGTTAGAACAATTAATCAGTGGAAGAACCTGCCTCCAGAAGCTGTGAATGCTCCAACACTGGAAGTTTTTAAGAAGAGACTGGACAGCCATTTTTCTGAAATGGTATAGGGTTTCCAGCCTGAGCAGGGGGTTTGACTAGATGACCTCCAAGGCCCCTTCCAACTTTTTTATTATTATTATTATTATTATTATTATTATTATTATTATTATTATTATTATTATTATTATTATTATTGATATGCACAAAACGGAATAAATGATGTCTTAAATAATTAGAATATTAAAACAATTTTTAAGAATATGTAGTATTCCAGCTAAAGAATATAGTATAAGCTAGATGTTTGTTCTACAACTTATTGTTTTTATTTTTATTTTTATGACACCAGATAATACTATCTACCTAATAAACCCTTCTGTAGCTAATCTCTGTTTGCTAAAATGAGTAACTTAACATGCCTTTCCCATTTACTTTTTCAGGTTGTGTGGAGGAAACTTGGAGATGCTGCAGGCTCGTGTCCTGGAATTAGACAGCACTTGTCTGGAAGCCAATACAAAGGGCCAATGTGAATGGCTATCAAAATGAAGAAGGATTCCAAGTATCAGTGGACTTCACAACAACCCTTTTAGTAGTAATGAGACAATGCCAAACACTTTCTAGGCCACCACTGGAAAATAGAAGTCTTTTCTTTATAGACTTTAGTGTGAGGTATCCAGATCTGCAACTAATATACACCATTCTGCTTTTGCCACAAGCATTTTCAATGTATACATACACACACGCATGCACACACACACACACACACACACACACACACACACACACACAAAGATATATATATACAGGAGAATATAGCTAACAATCATCAAGGTTGTTCAAATTAATTCAGAAGGAAAACTCTAAGAGAAAGTCCGTTTGTGGAAAGAAAGAAAGAAAGAAAGAAAGAAAGAAAGAAAGAAAGAAAGAAAGAAAGAAAGAAAGAAAGAAAGAAAGAAAGAAAAGATAGAGAGATTCAGTGGTGGGATTCAGCAGGTTTGCACTGGTTAGCTAATTTTTTGTTGACTTTGGTGAACCGGCTGATGCCCTAGCCCTTTTTCGCAAGGCCTAGAATATATGTGGACGCCACTTCCGGAAGTCCGTTCTGAAGGCCTCCGAGGCTGAGAATGGATTTCCAGAATTGGCGTCCATTCACTTCTGGTGGGCCGTTTTGGGCCTGGGAGGTGTCTCCAGCCCAGAATGGACTTCCAGAAGTGGCGTCCATGCAGAGAACTGGTTGTTCAGGTATTTGAATCCCACCACTAGAGAGATTCCAATGAATTGTGCTTTTGGTCTTTACAATTTGAAAAAAGAGTAAACTTATATTTGAGTGTATTAAATATTGGTTAATGGTGAATAGCCAAACTGCAGCTGAAACCATTTTCTTTCCAATTGCTAAGATTATTACTAAATGCCCCAAACATTCAAGTCTCGCAAGAGCCAATAGTGTAGCAAAAGAAAAACTATATATATAAGCACTAAAATTCTGATGCCTCATTGCTCTAAAAACATAGACCAAGAATCGCTTTATTCTTATCCACTTTGGTGATTGCATTCTAAAAAACTGGCCTTTCTCTTATTAAAAGAGATATTTCCTCTATAGCGAAGTGCAGCCAAGTCCTGAAGCACTCTTAGTAACTGAGCATCAAAAGCCTGCGCTGCTTTTAAAAGAAGCAAGCATTTCAAGGATGAAATAGATCCTTGAGCCAGGCTGAAGACAAGGTACCTGCAGTAATGCTCTGGAGACATGGTTTCTGGTAGCTGCAATTGTATCCATGGCTAAATCTTGATTGGAGATCCACACATATGCATCAAGGAGAATGCTGAAAGGGAGGGACTGCTTCCAGAATTGTGGAGTGAACACTGCATTTATATGCACTCTGTTTTAATAGTTAAGACAATGCTGATATCTAAAGAGAAAACAAAAAAGCTCAGATACCAAACTTGCAGGCTTTTATTTTTAACACACACACAAACCACATAGAAAAACATGAAAAGGGGAAAGTTGTGCTCTTGGAACATGGAACAGCATGCTGTTTCTAATCAATTTGAATTAGAGTTTGATGGAAAGGCGATATTAATGATTGGCAGACAAGAATGGATGGGTATGCTGTGAAAATGGCAATCAGGACTAAGAAGCAATACACCAAGAAAGCTTGAATGCTAGTAATAGTAGTATCTGTGAGGGTGACAATTATAGATTGAGAGGTAAAGTGGAAAATATAGACACTTGCACCGTTTCCAGACAAGTCACAAATAATTGGAAAAATGGATATAGGCTTCTCATCTCTCAGTAATAAATTCAAAATTAGGTTGAAAATGAAGAGTCTTAGAATGAGGCTTCAGCTTAAATCATGACTACATTAAAGAGCATAACAAACACAAATCATTTAAGGAAAGGAAATCATTAAAAGTTACCCCAAAAGTTTAAATGATGGCCATATCATTGATTTATGACCTTCAATAACAGTTTCTCAAATATCATAAATTCCCTCCCTTGGCCACTATTTTTAGTCTGAAAACCAGCAGTTCATATAATGGACACAATTTCTGCAGGGTATCAAAAATAAATAAGTTACACGTGTCATGAATTGAACAGGACTTTACACAAAGCAAACTCTATCGGTTGGTAATACTTTTACTTTGGATGTACAATGTAAGTGTATTTTTCAGAGCAGATGAAACAATAAGGTGAATTAGAAAGAGGAAAGGGTTTTTTGCTCCTGAAAAAGTGGATCAGAAAATAGTGTGAAATTGGGTAGTGCTAAGAAAATATTTCAGGGAGCTCCTGGGAGTAAAACCTGGGCTAAACTTAGAGACAAATGACAAACCCTTCATGACTATGACGGATGCTGGAATCATCTAACTTTCAAAAATCTGGCACTCAAAACTGAAGGCTGATATGCAAAATATTCCATGGCTTTAATGCAAGAAAAAAATAATATTTTGACTCCGATAAATGAATCTAAAGACTGAGGAGGTTAAGTTTACTGAACACTGAAATCCATACTGCGGAACACTAGCATAATCATAGAATTAGAAGGGGCTTATGAGACCACTGATTCTAACCCTTATTCTGTACAGGAATTATATTACATGATTCCTAATTGATAGTCATCTATTCACCACTTGAGCACATCCAAATTAAAAGGAACCGATCACTTCTCTGACTATTATTGTCAGATTGTTCTTGTTGCTAGGAAGGATTTGTTTTATTTTGTATGATATTCAATTGGAATCTATCATCCTGTAACATAATCCCTTTTCATGTCTTCTGATGATAAAGAATAGGTCTTGGCCTTTTTTATGTATGTGATATTGTTGAAGGTGCTTGAAAAATATTATCATGAAAATGGCCAATTCCTCTCAGAGGACTTAGTTTCTGGTCCCTTCACTATCTTTATTATTACTATCTGGGTATGTTCCATTTTGTCTGGATCTTTCTTTAAGTGAAATGCTTCAAACCAGACATAATATTAAAAATGAGATCTGACCGAAGCAGAATAAAGAATAATAATAATAATTTGCTGTAATTTAGAAACTATATTTGTGTTAATGTGGTCTAAAATTGCATTTGCTTATTTTTATAGCCTGCTAGTTTATATTAAAGATACAAAGTACTAGTTCAAGATCTTTTTCATACCCACCATTACCAAGCCAAGTACATTGCATCTTACCTCTGTGCATTTTATCTCTGTTTCATAAATATTTTGTCTCAAATTTCATTTAATTATTTTCATCTCATTTCTCTATCATCTCAAAATTGAATTCTGTTACTGTGTTCTATAGTATAACCTTTCTCATCCAACTCCATTTCATCTGCAAATTTTTAAGCATTCCTTCAACTCCCTGAATCAAGTTATTTATAAAAATGTTGAAAACATAGACCCAGGACTAGACTCTGTGGCATCCCATTGGATTTTCTTTTAATGATGTGGAAACATTAATGAATTAACTCTTTGAACATAGTTTTCAAGCCAGTTTTGGATCACTTAATAAACACAGCATAAAACCCATATTTGATCATCATACTATAGTATCCAATGTCATTTGCTTTCTTGAGGTCAAGAAATATCTGCCTAGCAAATGTCTGGTAAGACTTTTTCCTGACAACTCAGTGGAAATTTATGGATATTTTTAAGGGGCTTATAGATCTAATAATAGAAAATGATGGGTGTTTGGTTGTTTTTCTGCAGATGATTCTGCGGATCTTAGTTACTAGATTAAATAATATCAGTGCATGGAAGAGTATAGTTTGCTGATTAGTTATCTATAGTAGCTTGCCCTCCTGCTCTTGATTGGACTGTAGTTTCTTCCTTGATAACTTTTTTAAAAATGACACCAAACTAAGACTGGCAGGACAAACTACTATACATAATCAACATTAAACTTTAATTTCCCATGATTGATGATGTTATCTAGAAATATCTGCAGGAAAACAACCAAGCTAAGAGAATACCAAGAACCCAACTTGTGGAGTGATTGATTTATTATTTGCTCTAGAATCTTCCTAGGTATTCAAATCAAGCTATAGTTTAAGAGGTTTTCATTTTGTTGAAAAGAGGGATATATGCCCTTGTCTACCAATTTCCCCAGTCTCCAGGATTCTGCATTTAATAGGCAACAGTTTAGTCAGACCATTGAGTTCTTTTCAGTACTCTGAAATACAGTTAATCCAATCTTGGAGATTTAGGTTTATAGGTAGTCCTCAATTTGCAACCACAATTAGAATCAGAATTTCCATTGCTAATCAAGGCTATTGTTGTGAGTCATCCTTGATTTTGCTAGCTTTTTTTCCACAGTTAAGTGTGAATCTAGTTTCATACAACAACTGAATTAAGTAATTCATGCAATTAGGCAAATCAGGTTCTCCAATTGACTTTGCTTGTCAGAAGCCAGCTGGGAAGATCAATATATGCCCAAACACCCAAATTTTGATCATCTGACTGTGGAGATGCTGCGACACTCATAAGCATGAAAACAGGTTATAAGTCACTTTTTTCAGCCGTTGTAACTTCGAACAGTTGCTAAATGATTGTTGTAAGTTAAGTGTATCTGTATTCAAAACATATCTTCTCTGATAGGGCTTTTACTGCACTTTATAGTTGTGTGATGAATCACATGTCCTGTTACTGGAGAAGATACTGGGCATGTTAGGCAGTGTTCTTAGGATAAGAACACTTCAGGACTGGACCATCCCCAGGTTCTAATGTCTCCAAGTTATTGGTATCTTCATGTCCCACCCAATTATCTAGTTACAGTAAATCTGAAAAAAATAGTCTCTGATCTATTCCCTCTGAAATTATTATTTTTATTCATTGCAGTTTTTGAAATAAATTCTTATCTCCAGGTATCTAGAAAATGCCAACAAAATGCAAAACACAGATCCTGACTCCTGTATTCTTTGTTGTACAAAGGATTGCGAGGTGGAAATACAATTCAGGCAGAAACAGTATTTGTATTTACATCATCCATGAAAAGTTAGAGGTGACTTCCAAAAATTCAGCAAATTCACTAACATCAACACCCAAGTGGTTCACCTGATTTTTTTTCCAGATAGGAAATTTTTATTTCTGAATCTTTGTAATAGTGCTCGAATGAAAATGGCATACACAAATGTGTACACTTAAGTTTGCACCAGGATCAATTGTAGAGTACATCCAGACTGGATCATTTGAGGTCCAGTATATATAATGATACTGTTGTTACTGGTCATCAGCATTTGATATTCTG